CATACAGCCTAAACTAACCTCAAAGACATCCTTTCACCCAGTCCTCCTGCCTCCACCTCTGTGATACTGGGATTACAGGTATGCCTCATGTAGGTGTGACCCCGCTTTTGCTAAGTATATGGCATTTGGTGTCCATCCATTCATCCTATTTTGTACCCAAACTATCAACTTTTCAACCATGTCACATCCATTACCAAAGCTGTTCTCTTAAAGTCACTAATGAGCCAGACATGGTGACTGGTCCTGTATGACTCTAAGGCCATCTGGGAGGAGAGGGAGGCAGAAGAATCAAGGGTTCTGAGCATCTTTTGTTATGTGTCTAGTTTGAGGCCATCTTGTGACACACAAAATACACACAGACATACACACATACACACACACACACACACACACACAGGGAAGGAGAGGGTGAAGAAAACAGAGAATAATCATTAATGAAATAAAATCTCACATTATCTCCCAGTTGTTGAGTCTGAAGACAAATCTTGTCTTTTCACTATGAGGAAATAAGTCAATCCATAATGAAAATAATTCTAGTCACACATTAAGGTAAGACCTCAAAAGCCAGGTGTGGTGGCTCACTCCGTTAATCCCTGCACTCAGAGGCAAAGACAGGCTGATCTCTGTGAGTTCCAGGCCAGCCTGGTCAACAGAGTGAGCTTCAGGGCAGCCAGGGATGTTACACAAAGAAACCCTGTCTCAAAAAAACAAAAAAGAAAAGCTGGGGGGGGGGGCTGGAGAGATGGCTCAGAGGTTAAGAGCACTGGCTGCTCTTCCAGAGGTCCTGAGTTCAATTCCCAGCAGCCACATGGTGGCTCACAACCATCTATAATGAGATCTGGTGCCCTCTTCTGGCATGCAGGTATACATGCAGGCAGAACACTATACATGATAAATAAATAAATCTTTAAAAAAAAAAAAAAAAACAAAGAAAAGAAAAAAGCTCAGTTTAGGTCGTTAAGATGGCTCAGCAGGTAAAAACACTGCCAAGCCTGAAGACTTGAGGTTTCTCTCTGGGACAAACAGGGTGAGAATCAATTCTTGCAAGTTATCCTCCAAACTTCACAAGGGCTTCACCCATACTTCCTCAAAACCTCTCCAAATAAAGTATAGGGGCCTGGGGAGATGATTCAGCAGTTAAGAGCCCTGGCTGCTCTTCAGAGGACCCAGGTTCAGTTCCCAGCACCCAGATAAAGGTTCAAACTTACCTGGAACTCCAATCCCAGGGGTATTCCAATCTGTCACTCTCTTATGGCCTCCTCAGATGCCAGCCATACAAGTGGTAATAGAATAATATACAATAAAATAACAATTTAAAAAGCCAGACTTAGTGGTGAGTTCTTGCAATCCTAACTCCAAAGGTCTCTGAAGCTTTCTGGCCAGACAGCCTAAGACTAACTTGTGAGCCACAGAGAGTGAGAGACCCTGTCTAAAAAAGAAGGAAGGAGAAGGAGAAGGAGGAGGAGGAGGAGGAGGAGGAGGAGGAGGAGAAAAAAAGAAGGAGAAGGAGAAGAAGAAGAAGAAGAAGAAGAAGAAGAAGAAGAAGAAGAAGAAGAAGAAGAAGAAGAAGAAGAAGATAAATAAAAAATTTTGATTTTGGTTTTTTGTTTGTGTCTCGGTGTATCCCTGGCTGTTCTAGAACTCACTCTGTAGACCAGGCTGGCCTCGAACTCACAGATTCGCCTGCCTCTGCCTCCCGAGTGCTGGGATTAAAGGCGTGCGCCACCCCCTCTCCCCACCCAGTTGACTTTATTTTTAGTGAGACATGTGGTGCCTTGAACTTCCAGCAATCATCCAGTTTTTGCCTTCCAAGTGCTAGGACTACAGTCATGTGCCACCAAAATACAGCCTCCTTTTCTGGAAATGACAACACCTTTCCCAACACAGCTCAAGCCTGGAGCTTTCTTAGCATCTGTGTTAGAGGCAAATAGCTTAGAACAAAGAATTTCTGGGTTGGAGAGATGGTTTAGTGGTTAAGAGCAATGACTGCTCTTCCAGAGGTCCTGAGTTCAATTCCCAGCAACCACATGGTGGCTCACAACCATCTGTAATGAGATCTGGTGCCCTCTTCTGGCATGCAGCTGTATATTCAGGAAGAACAGAACACTGTGTACATAATAAGTATTAACAAAAGAAGAGGAGGAGGAGGGGGAAGAGGAGGAGGAGGAGGAGGAGGATCCATTCATCTTGGCTCAGGGTTTAAGAAGATTCAGTCTACGGTTAGCTAGCCCAGTACTCTGGGTCTGAGTTTTTGGGAGGGAGTGACAGACTTAAGCAGAGAGAGAAGGTGGGGGAGGGCACAAGATAGATCCTTCTAGGACATCCCCTGTGACCTACTTTGTATTTTCTAAGGTTTATCTATGTAGGGCTGGGGAGATGTATTGGCTATTCAGAGCACTTGTCTCTCTTCCACAGGGCCCGAGTCTGGTTCCCAGCATCCACCTGAAGGTTTGCAGCCACCTCAGGCAGTTCAAGGATCCGATACCTCTGCAGGCACCAAACACATATGGTGAACATACATAAATGTAGGTGAAACACACATAACATAAATCTTTTTTAAAATTATGTATTTTTAGCCAGGCATTGGTGGCGCACGCCTTTAATCCCAGCACTCGGGAGGCAGAGGCAGGCGGATCTCTGTGAGTTCGAGACCAGCCTGGTCTACAAGAGCTAGTTCCAGGATAGGCTCCAAAGCCACAGAGAAACCCTGTCTCGAAAAAACAAAAAAACAAAACAACAACAACAAAAAAATTCACTGTTGATGTGGTTGGTGCTGGATCAACCCTCGCACATGCTAGGCAAGCACTCTACCAAGCTGCTCCCCTAGACCTTGATTCATTGTTCACTGTTATGTCCTCTCCTGCCACATGATTCAGAACTCGCAGAATAGGGAGAAACCATATCGGTGGGTTTTGTTCTTGATTTGTGCTGTAACTTGGATTTTTCTTGACCTAAATTTGGTACCCACTATGGTGTTGTTGAGGTGGCAGAATAGTAAGTTAGACCTAGGAGACCGGTCTCATTTGGGTACAATCCTCCTCCCCCCTCCCCTCCCTCCCTCCTCTTTCCTTTTCTGTTTTTGAGGCAGGGTATCACTGTGAAGCCAAAATGGCCAGGCTACTATATAGCCCAGACTAGTCTCAAATTTGCCCCACTCCCCCTGCTTCACCCCTTTCTGGTAGCAACAGTCTATAGTTACAGCTACTCAGGAAGCTGAGGCAGGATCCAAGTTCAAGGCCAGTGTAGTGAGACCTGTATCAAAATAAAAAGGAAGGTGTGGGATGTCAATTCTTTCCTATTACCCTCAAAAAAAGAAAACTAACTATGCGTGGGGTAACAGCGCCCTGAGTAAATGCACCCTCTGGGTCCATGTTTTCAATAATAAAGATCTGATAGGAAACTAGGCTTGGCAGTCATACCTGTAATCCCTACTCACTCATGGAAGGCAGGGGTAGGAGGATAAGGAATTCAACGTCATTTAGTTACTTCTCAAATTCCAGGCCCGCATGAGCTACAGAAACCCTATCTTGAACAGGTTTTGAGAATGAATAAAGGCAGTGTAACAAAGACTATAGGACAATGATTCCTTGGCCCTGGTAGTGGAGTGATGAGTAACTGGAAAGGTTAAGCCTTGGAATATAACTGCAGGAGGGCTCTATTCATGCTCAGGATTTGCAAGGAGGCAAAGCCCTGTGATAGGTAGACAGCAACTAGGTTCCTGATAGGCAGGGAGGGGTGCGCCATCCTCCCATCCAGAGAACCACAATGTAGGGAATGTTCTGGAAGACAAGTGTGGCGGCACACTCCTGTAATTGCAGCTTGTCCTCCAACATAGTGAATCCCAGACCAGTATGTCCCCAAACAAACAAAAACCCACTGTGGCTTACTGCACTCCTTTAACCCGTGCTGAAAGGGTTTCAGCCCTAACAGATGAAGGTGTGCAGCAACAGGTACATTAGGTGTGTTTTATATGAACAGGGACAGTAAACAAATGGCAAACAAAGCAAAAAGGCAGTGACTCTGCCCTGGTGGGGAGTACAATACACTGAAGGCTGACTGGGAACTAGCTGACGGTCAACTGACCTCTGAAAATGCATAGGATGAATTTCATAAAGACTGGGAAGAGGGGGCTGGAGAGATGGTTCAGTGGTTAAGAGCATTGTCTGCTCTTCCAGAGGTCCTGGGTTCAATTCCCAGCAACCACATGGTGGCTCACAACCATCCGTTATGAGATCTGGTGCCCTCTTCTGGTGTGCAGATATACATGGAAACAGAATGTTGTATACATAATAAAATCTTAAAAAAAAAAGACTGGGAAGAGAACCATTGAGCAAAATGGGGGGAGAATCAAGAACAGTATGGAAAGGCCTCTTCAGTTAACCCATGTAGGAAGAACTGCTATCTTTTTTTCATGGCAGGGTTTCTGTTACAGCTTTGGCTGTCCTAGAACTCACTCTAGTCTTGGCTGACCTTGATCTACCTGCTGGGGCCAAAGGCGTGCACCACCACTGCCTGGCTTGGAAGTACTGATAATTTTTCTTGGTTTCTTTTTTTTTCTTTTGTTTTTGGAGACAGGGTTTTCTCTGTGTAGCTTTGGAGCCTATCCTGGCACTCGCTCTGGAGACCAGGCTGGCCTCGAACTCAGAGCCCCGCCTGCCTCTGCCTCCCAAGTGCTGGGATCAAAGGCATGCGCCACCAAAGCCTAGCACAGAACTATTCTTCTTAATCAGTGGTTTGTGTTTGGCCTCAAACTGGCTGTGAACTGGAGTGTCACCTTTACTCATGTTCACCCTGGCTCCGCCTCCAGAGCATAGGTATTATAAGTATACCCTGCCATACTTGGCGTGCGCAGTGGTGGATGAATCCAGGCTGTTATGCACAGAAGACAACACTCTACCCATTATCTATATTCCTAGCGGCACAGCCAGGATTTTAAAAGATCGCTAATAAAAGTCCAACGAAAATGAACAAAAGGGGGAAAAAAAAGCTATGACATGCCATACATTCAGAATCTTTATTTCAAAACAGAAACTACAGTAACATTAATAGAAAGTATATATGGAAGTATTCACAACCTGGCCATTGACAATGGGAAGATTCCACCCAGCGTTACTGCCAACTCACTGAAGAAAAGAGGTAAGTTAGAGATACCTTTCCCAGCAAAGGCCCTCTTCATAGCTTTGTGAGTTTTTATCCCAAGTCTCAATGACCACAGGGAGTAATGAACAGGGGTACTGAAACACTGTTAATATATGCAAGGTTTTGCCTAAAAAGTCTGGAATGTGTAAGCACCAAGAGGGACAGAGGGATCCAGTGACCGATGGAAGGGGGGGAGGGCCACCAGAGCCATCTCCCATTTATGAACCAAGTGGAGAAGGAGGGGATGGGTTGTTGAGGGATCCGTGACCTATGGCAGGTGGGAATCCTGGCATTCCCCCCAACATACAACCTCCTAGTCCCTTCAAAGAAATCCTCCCTCTCCCCACAGCTGGGTCTTCAGGAGTTCTGACCTCACAGCTGGAGTGAGGCTGAGCCTTGCATCCCAAACTTCAAGGAAGCACCCCTCTCCAACAAGGACAGGGAGCCAGGTGAGTGAGATCTAGTCCAGGTGCAAACCCCACCCGGCAGAGGCACTGCTGCTCACGTACAGAGATGAGTGTTCATAGATTCTAGCAAAAAGAAAGCTACAGGAACAAAGGAAACAAGTTCTTAACAGCCAGAGCAAAGTGCCAGTGCACATACATTCATATCCTCAAGTGTGGGCCACACTGCACAATTATGCACACTGTCTCTAATGTGTCTAGCAGAGTCAAGGCCCCTCGGGCACTTAGCACAGTATCACAGGAACACGGCCACACGGGTAGCCTGAGAGTGTAACAGACATAGACGAGCATGCCATGACCGCAGAGCAACAAAGTATTCAAACAAGGTAATTAATAATCAGGAAAAAACCCTCTCCTGGAGCTGAGGTAACAAAGTCCAAGTTAGCTATGAATCCCTTTAAATCAAAATAAAACAAAATCAACACACAAAATCTCCTTAAGAAACAAAATTGAAATAAGAAATGCCTATAGAGAGCTACTGCATGGCTCGCTCACCAGTTAGGTAGTGGGGGTGACTGAAGGAAAAGAAAACAGGAAGTTCATCAGGACAGGAACAAGGTGTTTGGCCCAGGGGAAGGAGAAAAGTGTTCTACAAGCCCTTCTGCCTTCTCTGGACTCCATGCAAAATAAAAGGCCACCAACACCACTAACTACAAAGCCCATCTTTGTAACAAGCATAGATTTCAAGTAACCCTACATAAAAACTATAATCTTAAAAGGCCCACAGAAAGCTGTGAGCCTTTCCCTACAGGCACTCGCTCTTCTGGGAAAACCCCTGAAGAGTCTTTGTCTAGAACAGAGGCAGCTCACATGTCCACCAGCAATGTCTGTTCTCCATTCATGTTGCACCATCACCCTCCAGCACCAACCCTTCTTTCCTCTCTTCCCTCCCTCCGACCAAATTTCCTTACTCTTTCATTATTTGGTAAAATTACACTTAAAAAAATAAATATTTATGCAATAAAACCTGAAGATAAAATAAATAAAACTCAAGTTACTTTAGCTGTGCAGAGCTGTAACAAGTGAGGAGGGCTCTCATTTAATCCCCAGTGGCCCCAACACTAGGTGTGAAGGTCTGTTTGTTTCCTGGCAAGCTGAGGTTGGGGGGACAGGGGCTGCACCCCACTCCTACTCCCTAGGCAAAGGGGATCCTAGAACTAAGAGGAACTGCAGCCACTCTCTCCTGACATGAAGGTAGATTCCCTCAAGAAATAGCCCCAAGAAATGAAAACAGCTAACAAGCCATTGGTGATCCGGCTAACCCCAGCATTGGGTGCTGCCGAGTGTTCATGGAGTGTGTGGGGCGACAAAGGATCAATAGCAGCGCCCAGAGCAGTCCTGGTTCATCCTGATGAGGTCTCCCCGCTTTGGGGAGGTTGCTTTCCATGGTGGAGGGAGGTGAAGGAGGTCCGCCTCAGGCATTGCCAGGGGTATCCTTGACAGGCTGCATGCTGTTCAACTCCACACCAGAGGTTTTCGCAGCCTGCCCCTCGAAGGCCCGGGTAATGTCTTCGAAAGTCCTGCCTTTGGTCTCAGGGACTTTGAAGAAGGTGAAGATTAAGAAGATAGTGAGGAAAGCAGCAAAGATGATAAAAACGTAGGCTCCCAAGTAGTCCTAGGAAATGGGAGAAGGTTGGTCATAAGCACGTGACTGTCTCATCTTTTTTTTTCTTGAGACAGGGTTTCTCTGTGGCTTTGGAGGCTGTCCTGGAACTAGCTCTTATAGACCAGGCTGGTCTCAAACTCAGAGATACGCCTGCCTCTGCCTCCCGAGTGCTGGGACTAAAGGCGTGCGCCACCAACGCCCAGTGACTGTCTCATCTTTGTGGGGCCTTAAGCTACAACACTTCCATATTGAATGCAAGGCTAGGCTAGGTCACTTCACTTAAGATGCTGCCATGTTTCTCTGCAATTCTTGGTGTCATTCTTTTTTTATTGTCACTCAAACTAGCTTCTTCCAGACACCTTGAGAATTCTATTTTGTTTCTGACTTGTGAGACAGGGCCTTACTTTGCAGCTCTGGCTGGCCTAGAAATCACTCTGTAGACCAGGCTGAACTTGATCTGCTTGCTTCTGCCTCCCCCATAAAATAATAAATCATACCGGGCGTTGGTGGCTCACACCTTTAATCCCAGCACTCAGGAGGCAGAAACAGGTGGATCTCTGTGAATTCGAGACCAGCCTGGTCTCCAGAGCGAGTGCCAGGATAGGCTCCAAAGCTACACAGAGAAACCCTGTCTCCAAAAAAAAACAAATAAGTAAATAAATAATTAAAAACAAAAGAGAGTGCTACTAGGCCTGGCTGTTCTGAGGGTTTGATCTTAAGACATCAGCCAGGTGGTGGTGGCATACACCTTTAATGCCAGCACTGGGGGGGGGGGGGCAGAGGCAGGTGGATCTCTGTGAGTTCAAGACCAGCTTGGTGGTCTATTGAGCAAGTTCAGGACAGGCTCCTATACTACAGAGAAACCTTGTCTTGAAAAAATAAAAACAAAAGACATCTGACCACAAGGTTTTTAAAATCCAGGCTTCTAGAAAAAGCTGTGAGAATAGGAAATGCATATGCAACCAATCGGAACTGGTCATCCTTCAAACTACAGAGCCTTTATTTAGGAGTATCCAGTTATCAATACTGACTGAAATGATGATTTTAATATGGGGCCAGGAAGTTTATGAGCTTGGTACCGTCCTTCTGTTCCTAAGCAGAACTATTCCAGTTTTGCCCTCACTGTAGCCTAGGCTGGCCTCAAGTGCTGGGATTGCAGACACAAACCACATTGCCTGGTTCCATCCTTCACTTCTCTTGTTGCCTTATGGGAAATCTGGCTTAAAGTTCTTGACACACAATCTCCTACTAAGTGTCTCCTACTAAGGTGCATCTTGGTGTTAGCTTAGTCTGGTTTGTTTGTGATAGACCATGTTTGCTTTTAAATTTACTTACTGCAGCCGAGGGGAAGAGCATCCCAACCAAGAAGTTGGAGGTCCAGTTAGAACAGCCAGCCACTGCCATGGCAGCTGGGCGGGGACCTTGGCTAAAGAGTTCAGCCACAATAAACCAGGGAATGGGGCCCGGTCCAATCTCAAAGAAGGCCACATAGACCAAGATAGCCACAATACAGACAAAGCTCATGGCTTCATACTTATCCTGTAAGAGAAGGAAACAAAGTCCTGTTAAAAAGGCACCATGGCACAGGTTCCATGTTTGGACGTGTTGTACAAAGTGGTCACTCAACTTGGGAGTCAGAAACCCTAGTGCTGCCGAATCCAGGCCACTCCATCCCACCCATCTCATTTTGTAACAAGATCAGTTAGTTCATCACCTATGAAATGGAACTACATGACGACGATTTTGGGGTTTTTTTTTTTGGTTTTTTGAGACAGGTTTTCTCTGTGGCTTTGGAGGCTGTCCACACTAGCCTTGAATTTAGAGATTCACCTGCCTCTGCCTCCTAAATGCTGGGATTAATGGCGTGTGCCACCACACCTTGTGGAGGACCTCCTGCCTTTGCTAAGATTGGGATTCCAGGTGTGAACTACCAATGTCTGGCCTCCAAGGTGACTTTCAGGAGTTATACCAGATTGGGTCTGCACGATGGCTCAGAGGGTAAAGGGGCTTGCCATCAAACCCGAGGACCCAACTCCGGTTCCCCACAACCACACAAGGGAAATGTAATTGGAGGATTAGGAATTCAGGGCCTACCTCGGCAACAACAGACCTTTCCTGAGACAATGCATCTTACAAGCCCTGTTACAGGCGCACAAGCTCTGAAGGTACACCTTTGATAATAAAACTTCTGGGCAGCTCAAATTTGACTTCATTGATGACCTGGAAGGCCAACACCTCAGCCCCTGCCACTGAGGGCCAACGACAGCACATCCCTTCCACCGCTCAAAGAGCACTCACCTTCAGTAACAGAGAGACCGTCATGAAGATGGAACAAACAGCCATGCCTCCCAGGCCTATCATGTGCAGGGTTCGCCTTCCTGCCTTCTCCACCAGGAACAGCTAGAAGACAAAGCATTTCCAATTTCACAAACGCTGCCTAAAGGATTCTACCGCCTGACCCCATGTCTACCATCCTCCTTCCCATACTTCCCCTTTCCCGTCCGTTCCAGTTGCTGGGATTCTTTTTCTCAAGGGAATTAAAAAATGGTTTAACTAAATGTAGGATGTTGAAAGGCAGTCTATGGCCAGGCGCATGCCTTTAATCCCAGCACTCGGGAGTCAGACAGATCTCTGTGAGTTCGAGGCCAGCCTGGTCTATAGAGCGAGTGCCAGGACAGGCCCCAAAGCTGCACAGAGAAACCCTGCCTTGAAAAAAAAAACAAAAAAAACAAACATAAAAACAAAAAAAGGCAGTCTATGCCAATGTTTGAACACTTGCAGGAGGATTGTTTCACCCATTTCCATCATTCACCAAACTACCCAACTTACAGAAACTACAGTGAAGATGGTATTAACCACACCCGCTCCAATCGTAGCATAGATTGGCTCCTGGACACCTGCATCCTTGAAGATCCCTGTTGAGTAATAGAACACCTAGAAGGAGACAAAAACCGCATCACCAATTGCATCCCAGGATGCAGGAACACTGGGGTTCTTGCAATGTACCACCTCTATACATCTACCTCCCAGTTACCCAGGCCAGGGCTGTTTCCTTCTAATGCTTATCCCCACCACTTAGTTACTTTCTTACATCTGGGCAGGGGGGGTGGGGTGTCACAGGAACAATCACCACGCCTACCCAGCTCATTTGCCTATGTTTACTTTGCTAAATTTCAGAGATTTAAGTCCTAGTTTCCCCTTTGTCTCAATTCCTGATCCTCCTGCCTCAGCCTCTCTAGTGATAAGATTAGATGCTTGTCACTGCATTCACCTTCGCTTTACATTTTTGTCATTTCTTAATTATTATGCAGGGCATGTGGCACACACTTTAATCCTAGCCAGCATCCAGGAAGCTGAGGCAGGAGAATCTGAGTTCAAATCAGACTGGTCTATACAGTGAGACTAACTTTCAAAAGGCAGCAAAAAATAAAAAGAGAAAAAAAAACAAAACAAAACAAAACAGGAACCAAACCCAAAGGCTGGCGCCACAGCTCAGGAACAGCACTTTCTTACTTACAGGGCACCCACAGGCCAGAGTTTAAGCCCTAACTCTGTAAGATGAGAAACAAATGAGGGATACATCACTTGCTCAAAAACAGGCTGATAAATTTCTAAGCCCACTGTAGACTGGATTTTCTTTTTTTGTTTTGTTTTGTTTTCCTCTTTGAGACAAGGCCTCTCTATGTAGCCCTGACTGTCCTAGAACTCACTCTGTAGACCAGGCTGGCCTCGAACTAAGAGATCATCTGCCTGTCTCTGCTTCCCCCAAGTGCTGGCATTAAAGGTGTGTGTCACCACTCCCGCCCAGCTGACTTTCCTTTTTAAAAAGTAAGTTCAGGCCACTCTCACAACACTCTTGGCAGGGTACGACTCAGGAAAAGCCCACCCTGTGGTTTGGGTTAGAGTCTACCCAGACAAAACTTGCTCACTCAGTCAACGGGAAGCCATCCTAGTAGAATAGAGTTTCCTCAGCTGGGGCAAGGGCATCTTGCACTGTGTGCCCTCGATCATTTGTGATGCTCTGGGTCCTGTTTTGCAGGACCAGGATTACTGTGAGGTAGCTGACCTCAGACTACTGGGTAGTAATTGAGCATCCTGTTCCGGCTTTTGGAGTAACTACATTCTGCAAACACATATGTCAACCTGCCAACAAGATCAGGTGATTTCAGGAAAATATTCCTGGGTCCCTTTGGCGCCATGGCAGACACTCACAGCATTGATTCCAGAGAGCTGCTGAGATAGCTGCAGCATGATGGAGATGATGAGTGGCTGGTGGTAGTTAGCTGACTTGAAGAGCTCCACCACGGTGATCTGCTTCTCCTGCGTCATCCTGACACTCTCATCTTTCATCTCCTGGATCTCCTGGGCCACATCCTGGGTGCCCCACAACCGCTGGAGGACTGAGATAAATGGGTAAAAAGAATAAGCATACCATTTCCCGGCCATCCCACCATCCCATTGTTTCCTGTCAGTCAGCAGACAAGGAGACACTAAGACGAAGACGCCCACAGCAGCCATCTTTGCTTGTCTTGCCACTTCATTCTTGGGCTGGCAGTCATCAGAAACTTTTCATGCACATGGAGGTGCAAGAAAGGGAGGTGACAAACCAGCGTCCCCACCCTGAACCACTGGCAAAACCAAACTCCCGCGGTGATGCAGGAGGAGGACTCACTCTCCTTCGCGCGTTCTTCCTCCTTTCGGTTAATGAGCAAGAATCTCGGGCTTTCGGGGCAAAACGGAAGGGCTGCACTTTGTAAGATAGCTGGAACGATTGTCAAGCCCAACAGCCCAGGCCACAGATCTTCAGAGCCCAGGATGAAGTCCAAACCAAAGATCTAGAAGCCAGACAAAGAGAACACTGAACCCCAACCATACTTCCCAGGCCACAGATTCACTATAAAGAAAAAAGAAGAAAAAGAAAAACAAGACCACTCATCCTTTTACCACACATAGAAAAGAGAAAACAAAAACTGTTTCTTGTCCTTTCTGGGCCCCGCCTATATCGTATGAACTATAGCAACAGTATCTGAAACATATTCATAGAAACAGATCCCAAGTGCTTAACCTACATCATTCACAGAACACAGAGCTAGCACGCATTAAGTAAGTAAAATTGCAAGGTACCTGAGCCACCAGGATCCCGATGACAATGCCCAGCTGGTTTAGTGTGCCAAAGGCACCCCGCAGGGAAGTGGGAGATACCTCTCCAATGTACATGGGCACAAAGCCTGTGCACAGTCCACAGAAGATGCCAATAATCAAGCGGCCCAGGATCAGCATTTCAACAGATTCACCTATCTTGGCAAAACCCATAAGGCAGCCACCAGTGATGGCAAGTAGGTTGACTAGAAGCATAGAGTTGCGCCTGTAAGGTTAATCCAAGACAAAGTGTAGTTAGTTAACCATGAAAGAGGCTCCAGTCTCTCCTTCCCTCATCTTTTTTTGTTTGTTTGTTTGTTTGTGTTTTTCGAGGCAGGGTTTCTCTGTGGCTTTGGAGGCTGTCCTGGAACTCAGAGATCTTCCTGCCTCTTCCTCCCAAGTGCTGGGATTAAAGGTGTGCACCACCAACGCCCAGCTCAACTCTGCTCTTCTGTAGCCTCTGTAGGTACAAATCTCTTTCCCTTTGTGGCTATGGGCTTGTGTATTTGAAGAAACCATGTCATCACTGAGCTATATACCCCCTCCCCAGCTTCCTTCACTCGGGAGGCAGAGGCAGGCGTGAGTTCCAGGACAGCCTCCAAAGCCACAGAGAAACTCTGTCTCAAAAAACCAAAGAAAAAAGAATAAAAACTTTATTACTGCATTTATGTGTGTGTCCAGGTGCCAGTATGCCACAGCACACATGGGGAGCTCAGAAGACACTTTGAATGGAATTGGCTTTCTCTTTCCACCTTTATGTGGACTCCAAGAACTGAACTCAAGTCAAGCAAGGGTCTTCTTAACAAAGGCTGAGCGAGCCACCATGCTGATCCCTTGTTATTACACTCTTCATAGAATTAATACTGTAACGATGGCAGGATATGTAGAACAATTTTTTTTTTCATTTCACTGAAAAAAATATTGTCAGAAGGTAGCTAGTCTCAGCTCTCTGTCAAGTAGTTAAGGACTAGACTAATTAGTACTAATAACTGAATAAACTAAAGCTTTAAATGCTGATTGGGTGACTAAGCTACCGACTCAGCTAAAGGATGTAAAAGATTAACAATGAAAATCCTCAAGAGCTCAGGGGCACAGAATTCTGGCTTTTGCAAACAGGGTCACACTATGCAGCCCTGGTTAGCCTGGAACTCAGGTGCTTTGGCCACCTGAACACCACCATGCCCAGCGGACCTGACCGGAGACCAGCGAATTATGACGAAGGGAGCTGGGAAAATGTTGATACATGGTTCCCGTCTCCAGAGGCCCACTTAATTAGCTATATAGTGTGACACAGCACTGGGACTCCTAAAAGTCACCTTAGGGGATCCTAAATGTGCAGCCAAGGTGCACAAATACCATTAAGAGAAAAAAATAAAATTAATTAAGAATTTTTGAGTTAAAAAAATTACTCTCCTCCTTTTCTATTTTCTTCCTTGTTGAGGTGCTTTGGCTAATGCAAAAAAAAAAAAAATGGTGGTTATTAGTCAAGAGACCCCATTAAAAAAACAAAATTAACAGCCAGGCATTGGTGGCGCACGCCTTTAATCCCAGCACTTGGGAGGCAGAGGCCAGTGGATCTCCTCGAGTTCGAAGACAGCCTGGTCTACAAAGCAAGTTCCAGGATAGTCAGGGTTACAGAGAAACCCTGTCTCAAAAACACCAGAAACTAAAGAAACAATCAAATTAACAACTAAATCTTGTGGATCCCGGGCTAGCCTCAACCCCGATCCTCCTAAGCCTCCTGAGCCCTGGGTCTGTGGGCTTGTGCCACCGAGCCCAGCTATTAGAGTATCTACTTTATTAGTGGTTTCTTTTTCAGTTAATTCCTGAACGTATAACCCTCTTAAGGTATTATTCTATCCAATTTTCTCTTTTGGGTGGAAAAAAATCAGTTATTTAGCCATTGTCCACATTTTCCACAAGTCAGGGATTACAAAAAAGCATTCATTTTATAAAATAACAGAGGACTTCCAAGAAACCTCCAAAATATTTAGTAACAAAAATAACTTTTGGCTGGGTGTTGTGACACCAACCTCTGAAAACACCATAGCTGACCCCAGTAGAGCAAAATTAAACTAGTCTGAGAGGAACTTCAGAGACCAAGTGCTCACATAGCAGATCTCTAGAAAGGCCTGCCGGAGCTTCACAGACAGTGGCCTTTCAAGGGCAGCCACATTCCAGGCCAGGTTGGAGAATTCATCCCTTGAGAAATAACCAACATGCTCTCATGTAAGGCCCATCGTCTCCCTGGTCAACGCCCTCTGCTTGTCTTCAGCATCAACAGTACAGGCCTATTCCTTGCCCAGTGTCTGATCAGTACCTGCCAAAGCGGTTGACAAAGATTCCAACAGATAAAGAGCCAATCATTCCACCAACGGAGAAGATGGCTACACACAAGGACCAGAGGGTGGTCAGCATCTCCTTAGTTGGCGGGTCTTCTGACTTCTCTTCCAAAGTGTAGTTGAGAAAGTCTTTTATGATCTACAAGATAAAATGCACAGTGGGGGACAGACCATTACATCTAGATGAGCATAGTAGACAAATGCCAGGGTGGCTTCCTCTCTCAGAGGACGGGAGCAGAGGCACATGCTTGGAAAAAGACAATTCGGGGCATCACCCTAAACATCCAGTAGGTGGCAGCACCAAGGTACAAGCATGTACCCCACCCAGTCACAACTTCCCTAGTTCTTAGCAATCCCCAAGGAATAGAAAAGGAAAGATCACGACTTGGTGAGAGGGCAAGAGGCCAGAGCCTGAGGAGCAACTAGCCCAGCTTAGGCTTCAACAGTATTTGCCCTCCCCCCCATTTTAGCCAGGCATCTTAAATTCACAATCCTACTTAAAGACACTCACTGTCTCAGGGGCATTGATGACTCCAGTGTTGTAGCCAAACTGGAAAGAGCCGATCGTGGCAACAGTAACGGCGAACACCAGAGATGGGGTCACCTGGAGAGAAGACAAGGGGAAACTGCTTACAAACACTGACGAATCTGAATCTTCCCCTTTCCCAGGGTGTCTGGCTGGCATCCTTCTTGAGGCAATGCTCAAAGGATCTCAGGCACCTTTGGAGGAACGAGTCAGTTCTTTTGGGCTGGTCTTCATAGCCAGTACCAAGTCAGCCAGGGTTACCCAGTGAGACCCTGTCTCAAAAAGAGGGGTGGAGAGCAGGGAGAGAGGAGACCAACTATTGCACAAGCTAGACCATAGTAGTGCACATCCAAGGCCATAGGATCATGAGTTCAAAGCCAGCCTGTGCTACATACATGGTGAAACACTGCTTGTCTCAAAAAGAAAAGACAAAACAAAGAAGTAAAACTGGACCAGATAGAGGCAGGCATGGGACTGCACTCAGGAACTGTGGGGACTGGCATGAAGTGGCTCAAATCCCTAATCCCAGCAGCTCGAGGGGCCTCTGAGGATTGAGGAGAGTCATGGCCAGCTTGGACTACACTGAGACCTTGACTTAAAATATAAAACATAGCAAACCCTGCCAGGTGGTGGTGACACCTACCTTTAATCCTAGTCCTCAGGAGGCAGGCAGAGGCATGTAGAACTGAGTTCAAGGCCAGCCTGATCTACATCGTGAGTTCCAGAACTGGCTCCATAGCTACTGAGAAACTATCTCGAAAAAACAAACATCCAACTTCCCACAGCATAGAAGGCAGAGCAAAAGGCAGCTTTCAGGTCCCTAAGAATTGACCATTCTGCAGCGATGGATTCAGAGTCATCTTCTAGTGTCATCCCCCACACTGCAGAGGCCAGAGCAGCAGGTAGCATCAGCCTGGCCACTGGGATTCGGAAATCAACAACAAACTCCGGAACAAACTCATAGTACAAATTACCGAGTTCTCTCCTCTCCTCCACAAAGTCTACTCTCAACGAATCTTCCCTCACCCCTTCTTGTTATGAGACAAGGTTCTACACTCCGTATTCCAAGCTAATCTCAAATTTAACTCCTCAACCTTCCTGTTTCAGTCTCTCAAGTGTGAGACCCGAGTTGAGAAAAACATGCTTTTCCTTCTGTACCTGGCCTAGTTCACATCCATCCATCCAGCTTTCTATAAATGACATGACTTTCTTTTTCCTTTTTGTGGCAGGTTTCCTCTGTGTAGCCCTGGCTGTCCAGGAACTCACGCTGCAGGCCAGGTTGGCCTGGACCTCAGAGATCCACTGGCCTCTGCTTCCTGAGTGTATATTAACCACCCGGCTGACTTCATTTCTCTTAACACCTGACTGTTATTCCAGTGTGTCACCACTATTATTTTTAATTCATTCATCCGTTGGTGGGCACCTAGGGCTGGGCTGCTCTTATCTGTGTAACCTACCAGCGACATCCTGGGGCCCTCTTGAGAGTCTTCCTGTTCGCTAAATATGGTACTATTTCCCACTCAGCCAGGCAGAGCAGAGCGTCTGCTCTTTTTGAACACAATATTAGGAGCCATTTTTAGCAGAGGGAAATCAGACAGATATTTCGCCTTGCTGGGGACCACTCAAGTAGGCAGGGGCAGCTCAAAACTGGAATTGAGGCCAACCTCTGCCCACCACAACCTCTTCAACTGTCATTAAGTTCCTATTCTCTAAAGTCACACGGAGGAGCCGGCTGGCTGGAAGCTTATACTAGGGAGTTGACCTTCACTGCCGCCCAGCCTTAGGGTAAGTACCTAGGGTAAATTCACAGTAACAGAAACATCTCACAGTCGCAACCACAGTAAGGACAGTTGGACTTCTCTCTCCACAGTACTCGGGGATGGCTGGGTGCTGAGCAAGCCTAACCCGACCCCACGTCCTCCCAAGGTCTGATGCTTGCCCAAGCCTTCCTGCTGGCTCCGAGACCCACTCGTCATCGCCACAGCCAAGCCCCTACCCTCTTCGCTCTCAGCGGTCTCATCACAGCTGCATCTGCCACACCCGGGAAGCACACTATGATAAGAAGGTGCCCGGGAGGCTCCTCATCAGGTATGAGATGCACGGAAGGAGAGTTAATAACGAATGCTGAGGCTGATATGAAAAGGCCTCCTCCCTCCGGACCGCTCTCTCGGTGACTTAGGAGAAATGGAGCATGGCAATCGGCACCAAGATCTGCCTTTGTGAGGATCCCAAGCAAACAAACAAAAATAACCCTTTCTTACCTTTGCGGTCCCCATGGTCCTAACCTACTTCCCAAGCCTTAAGGACGATCTAGACAACCTTCCCAGTCAG